CCCAAATTCAAATCCAAATTTCCAAAATCTCCAAACCCATTGCTGCTACTATATGCTAGATACACGTATTTCTATACATATCTGATTGACGACTAGCCTTAATCGAAAGTTCTCTCTCGTGATCGGGAGGGGTAATTAACTATAGGGGCTTGCGCCTATAGGAAACCAGAACTCAGATCATAAAGTCCTTGCAAATGAGGGCGAAATCTCTGGGTAGTGTCTTATCTACAAACCCATCTGCCTTCCAAAATTTACCCCGGAACTTAGTTCGTTAAAACTCCCTCGCCGAATAAGAAAAGCGAGTGGAGGCCGAGGCCGAATTTTCGGAGCCCACATAGACCTAAAAAGACTTGATTAGAAAATATTAGAAATGACATTTCTTTATTAGATTTAAATGAGAATATAACTTTTAATAGGGCACAATGGAGAAAAAGTATTCATGTAGCCGACAACATATAGTGGAATAAAGGCTTGTTGTTGTTGTTGTCTTTGAACATTCATTTATTGATACTATGTATGACTTTGTCCCACTTAGTTTAATCCATCTCTAATATTACTAAATCATAGACCCGATGAAAAAGAATTTTTTGAATAGTCTGCAAAGAATTCTTACAAGTAATTCAGAGATAAAGTAGCTTATTCTAGATAGATGACGGTGAATACCACCCCTTGTTTAATATTTTGGTCATAAAATATATGCACTCTGATTTGACGAACCTTTTCATGTTTGTGCTTCGGAATAGATGAGATGGAGCAAGTTGTTCCGGGTAGAGTATGGACAGATAAAATTGTTGCTTCCCTTGGGTTGTTTGATGTTATTGGCGGCTTCTCTTGGACTGTTGCAATTGCAAAACAAAATGCTAATATACCTTAAGATAGACAGGTTAATTTTTCTTTCCATAGATTGATTCATCTAGAATAATATATATATATATATATATATATATATATAACACAATTTGGACATTCTTGCTTCTCTGTGGGTATTTTTGTATTATTTTACAGCTTAGATAAAGTAGGGTGGAAATAACTGAGTCCTCTTTTGTTTGCTTCAAGATGTAGGAAACATGTGTAAAAAAAATGATGAATGCAATTGGAAAGCATGATTTCTTGTTTTTTGTTACTTAAACATTTTTAATTCTTGCACTATAAAAACATGTTCCGTAGTTTGCTTTCTATTTCTTTTTAAACATTTAATGACCATATTTGCTAAACATTCCTTTGTTTTTTTACTTTGTTCCGAATTAATAAAGTTATGTGCCTAACAATGATCTTTATGATTATACCATAAAATGACAATGTTATGTATTGCATTACACTTTCTAAACAGGTCAATTATTGTGTCCTTGCTGTAACCACCTAGCATTCAAGGGTTTTAAAACTCCAAAACCTAACTCATGGTCAGTCCATATGAGGCTTATACAAACAATAAAAGCCAAAAGAAAAATAAATTATTTATGAAATTGGTAACTTGATATAATTTTTTTATAACATATGACAAAATTAGTAACATGTTCTATAATTTTTTTGTTGGCTTTGTATATGAATTAGAGATTTATTGATTGAGTACCATTAATTTATAACATATGAAGCTTAAATGATTATTTTTCCTTCCAAATTCCATGGAGAGCAATTTATCATAAATGTTAATGGCTAACTTTAGCAATTGTATGCGTATAGATTGGTGCTATATATTTATGTAAATTTATTATTATCTTACGAGTACCTCGATAGTTGGTGGGTTTTCAATAAAAGTATGAAGAGTTTTATTAGGCATTTCGATTATGATTTCATCGTGGTTGATTTATGAAATTGTACAATGTATTATTATAATTAATGAATTTTGGGTTCCTATACTACGGCTTTTATTTTAGATATCTTCTAATCTAATACTTTTTTTGTCTTTAGTTGATAGCTGATAGTGGAATCAACTCATTACTGTGAAGTCTAGCTATTTGTTTGATGTTGTTGCATATGAATATGATCACTTTTTTTAGTTAACATAAAAAGCTAGAGTCATTCTGGTAATGATTTGCCCCTTGCAATAGACGAACTAAATATAATCTTGTATGTTATAACATGAATTGATAAATGGATCTTATTTATATATTTAGTTGATATAGAAAATTAATAATGATAGATTTCTTATATATTGAAGCGATCAATTCAAAAAAAAATATTGAAATGATCAATTCTTATGTATTAATCTTTTGTTATAAAGTAATATGTAATTTGGAGAAAATGATTTGTTTATTGAGATACTTTCATTTCTTAATTTTGCATGATCATTTTTACATGCTAATTGTGGAACTATTGCATAGTCTTTCTACTCTTTCCTCTGTTAATTGTGTAAGCATTTATTTATATTGTAATATAGAAGGAAGAAATCTATATTCTCTTTTTTTAAATATTTTGCCCTCGTTTGTTTTTATCAAAGTTAAATAATATATCATTTTTCGTTAATATAATTAGTTATTAGAATTACTTATAGGGATAAAATTAATAATTTTATCTTTTATCAGAGAAAATATAATTTAAATTTTGTAAATAGAAATTTGTTTTATTTGTGAGTTAGTTTTTTTCTATTTTGTAAAATAAATTACCTATTTTGTAAAAAATCTAATTATTCGATATAAAATTCTCTAATTAACTGACAATTATCTAAGCCCTTAAACTAAATTCTCACTTAGAATGCTATCGATTTTTTTTTCTTAAAAAATAAAAAGTTATGTCGTTCGAAAGCTGCAAGCATATTCTAATTTTTTAACACTCTTCATTAGCTGTTATGTTCATACTTGATCAAACATAGAGCCAAATCCAATGGCCAACACCTTTCAACAAAATTGGATTGATAGGAATGCAAATAACTTCATATCAAACTAAAACTTAAGAAAAAATTGCAAGTTGGTAAGATAAGAACAAGCCCAAGCAATAGACATTTCTTGGTGAGGAACACAAAATTGATAGAATTTGATGTTTATTGTTTATGTGAATTTATAATTATCTTATGAGTCCCTATTTTTGGAGGGTTTTCAATAAAGGTATAAAGAGTATTATTAGGCATTTAGATTTTGATTTCATCTTGGTTGATTTATGAAATTGTACTATTTTTGGTTCTAATAAATTTTGGATTCATGTATTATTGCTTTTATTTTAGATATCTTCTGATCTAATATCCTTTTTGTCTATAGCTTATACCTGATAGTGGAATCAACTCATTACTGTGAAGTCTAGTTGTTTGTTTGATGTTGTTGTATATGAATATGAACAATTTTTTTAGTTAACATAACAAAGTTTTAGTCATTTTGATAATGATTTGCCCCTTGCAAAAGAGAAATTGATGAGAGGATGGGCTTGTTTGTTATAACATGAATCGACAAATGGATCTTATTTATATGTTTAGTTGATATAGAAAATTAATAATGATAGATTTCTTATATATTTAAGTGATCAATTCTTATGTATCAATCTTTTGTTATAGAGTAATGTGTAATTTGGAGAAAATGATCTATTTATTGGGATACTTTCATTTCTTAATTTCGTATGATCATTATTACATGCCAATTGTGAAAATACTGAACAATCTTCTGACTCTTTCCTCGTTTAATTGTGTAAGAATATACTTATATTGTAATTGAAGGAAGAAATCTTATTATCATTTCTTTTCAATAAGTAACCCACATAGAGTCTTGGCAACATTGCTATGCCAGGTTTGGAGTGCAACGGCACTCCACTCTATGTCTCTAGTCTAACTGACAGCATAATAGCGTCAAAGTATAGTGTTGTGGCATTCCTCTTTCTGACTATCTCCAACCCAACTATACATCGTCGTAGTACTGTACAGAAAAAATAAAAAAAAAAGGGTACAAAACATCAAAACCCAAGCACATGGAGGACCCGTGCAACCCCTCAATGAGCTCAAACAACATAATTGAGGTCCAATACAGTAATATAACTTAATTTATCAACACAATCAAATTCTACACAAAGCTAAAAATTTGTTTTATTTTTGAGTTAGACTTTTCTATTTTGTAAAATAAATTACCCATTTTGTTAAAAAAATCTAATTATTTGATATTAAATGCTCTAATTAATTGATAATTATCTTATGCCCTATGCTAAATTCTCACTCATAATACTATCAAAAGTTTGTGTGTTCTTTTTTTCTTATTCCTTTAAAAAATAACAAGTTATGTCGTGGGAAAGCTACTAGCATATTTTAAATTTTCAACACTCATCATTAGTTGTAATGCTTATACTTGATCAAACATAGGGGCAAATCTGATGGATGACACCTTTCAACAAATTTGGATTGATAGGAATGCAAATAATTTTTAACTTCATATGAAACTTAAGAAAAAATCAACAAGTTGGTAATATAAAAACAAGCCTAAGCAATAGCCATTTGTTTCCTTATAGGACAAAACCCTTCTTTGATCTCTTCTTCCACAACCTAATCTTCCCTTAAAACAATGAATTCAATTCTAAACTAAATTCCTAATAATCCCATTATGTGCAATCATCCACTGCATATAAAGCCCCACCTCCACTTAGCTTACTCCTCCAAATTGTCCAAAGCAGAGCTTCAAAGTTCTATTCTCATGGCAATTTTTTCTTCTCTACTCTCCTGTTATATTCTTCTCAATCTCTTCTTCTTTTTTCTTCTAATAGAGAAGAAGTTTCTAGTATCAGCGCGAGAGCTTGCCGAAGAACACCATGTCATTGACGTCAAGTCACTGTTGCCGAGCAGCTTCTGCTCCATGCCTGATAAAAGTTTGGAGCATTTTAATAATTTCTTAATACCCTATTGGAGACTTTTTTTTATAAGTTAATTATAATAATAATAAATCATGCAACAATTATGATCATTTGATAGATATCACAAGCTTAAGCTCATTTTATAAATTAAATAAGCTTAATCTGTGATGCAAAAGCAAAAAAAAAAAAAAAACACACACACACAATTCGTACATTAATTAGTTGTTCCAATTATGACAGGCATGAGCTCTTCCAGGCTCAATGTGGTCCACCGGCACGGCCAGTGCTCATCTCGGGCGCGCCAGGACAAGCCGTCCCATGTGGAGCTCCTCCGTCAGGACCAAGCCCGCGTCGACTACATCCACTTTCAGGCCGCTAATGCTACCACTCGCCTCAACCCATTTGGAGGATCTCTTTTTGCAGGAGTTCCAGTAAGCCTCGGCAAAGCTCTTCGTACCAGCAACTATATCATCATAATAGGCTTCGGCACCCCAACAAAGTCCTTCTCAGTTGCGTTCGACACCGGTACTGATATCACTTGGACCCAATGTGTTCCATGCAGTAATTGTTACACCCAAAAAGACCCATTTTATGACCCAACCCAATCCTCCACCTTCACCGACATCTCATGCAACTCCGAATATTGTATCGATCTCAAAAAATTTGGTTGCTCCTCTACCTCCACCTGTCTATACCATCAAGAATATGATGACAATTCTTATAGTAATGGCTCCTTCATTCAAGACACTTTGACATTCTCCTCTGATACTATACATAACTTCCGCTTTGGCTGTGGACATAACAATAGTGGGCTTTTTGGACAAACAGATGGGTTATTAGGCCTAGGCCGAGGGGATGTTTCAATTATTTCCCAGACATCTCAATTATATGGCAAGATATTCTCATATTGTCTACCATCAGAGACCAACACAATTGGATATCTCGAACTAGGAAGCTCTGTCCCTGATGTGAAGTATACGCCGATGCTAACCAACCCAAGCCTGCCAACCTTCTACTTTCTCAAGCTCATTGCCATTTCTGTTGCGGGTGCAAGGCTCGCCCTTTCACCTACTATATTCAGCGGCCCCGGAACCATGTTGGACTCCGGCACAGTGATTAGCCGCCTGCCTCCCACAGCATACTCCGCCCTCCGTGATGCTTTCAAACAGTACATGACCAAATATCCGATGGCACCGCCACTATCAATCCTCGACACATGCTATAATATAACTAACTATGAGACAGTATATGTGCCATCGATTGCTTTGATCTTTGACGATGAAGTGACGGCAACTTTAGATTTTTCGGGGATTGTTTATACTAGCCGTAAATCTCGAATGTGCTTAGCCTTTGCTAAAAATGATGATGATAGTGAGGTTGTGATCATTGGTAATGTGCAGCAACGCAGGTTCAATATAGTCTATGATGTGGGGAACTTAAGAATTGGCTTTGGGGCTAATGGTTGTAGCTAGTGATGGATAAATCAAATTGAATAAGTTAAATGCAATGTATTGTCCTAGCTATAATGAATAGTTTTTGTCATGATGGTTATAAAATCAAAGTGTGTGGGACAATAAATGTAGTCATGAAAAAAAAAAAGTTCAAATGTATCCAAATTTTATGAAATAATTAAATATCAAATGAGTTGATGAAAACCATTAAGATGTGCTTAATTTCTTTATAATTAAGGGGGGATGATGACATTAATCGTTAGACGTTAGAATTATTAATATCAGAGGTAAAATGTAATCTTTCTGTGAAAAAAAGTTTATACTTAACACAAAAAATTTGGTCTGCACTTGCTCGATCCAAATCAAATCAAATCCAATGCACTCTTACTTCATCATCCTGTATGCACTAGTGGAGCCACGCTGGGGCACTAGGGCACGTGCCCCCACTAGCCCATTAGATTTTTTTTTTTCCAATGAAGAAATGGTAAGGTGGGCCTCTTACGCTTTACAGAAATAACAAAGTTTTTTAACATAAAAAATAAAATAGAGCTTTTTAGCATAAGAAAGAATAAAGACTCCCAATTATGATCAGTGTCAGACCCTTATAAAGTAAAATCATCACATTTTTTCTTCATCTTGGCCCTTTTGGTCCTCATTTTAGCTTCAATTTTCTTTTTTATTTTGTTTTATAAATGGAAGCATTTAAGGCTTGTGAGTTTTGTCAACCCATTGAGTTGTACAACTTAACACTTTCAAGCTTTGATGCAATCAAACTCATATTCCTTGAATATGGGGACATCTATGCCAATTTAGGTGAACTCACACGCAGTTCATATAGAGAGCCTTAGAATACAAGACCTCTGGTTGGAAGCTCCCAACCAATAAATCGATGAATTGCATAATGATGAATTATTTTATTTATATTTTTATAATTTTGAATATTTCTTTTTTTAAATATTGTGCTCCCACACGAAAAAAATTCTAGCTCCTGCACTACATCAATGCATCATGTATGCGCATGTACATCCATAAAAAAGTTATAATATCCATCTCAGGCTTCAATGAGTGGGTACAAAGGCATTGACATTGAAGGAAGTCCTTTCCAAAGTGTCTAATTGAAATTTTGCACTTCATCTGATTGGTGATAAAATTTGGTATGTTCCAAATGCATGAGCGGACAAAGGCTCTCACTCGAAATAATTTTTAAGTTTTGGTAATCTGATTGTGTTGATCAATTGCAGCGCTACAAGACGGACTGTACAATTTTCTCTCATTTTTCTCACGTCCATTGGAATTGTTTTACTTGATTTTCTCTTATATTTTTAGGGTGGAGACATTGAGAATAGTTAGGGCTGTCAATATTTGACCCGGCCCGAAAATCCGACCCGGACTCGACCCGAAAAATCCGGTTTGGATCCGACCCGTTTGAAAAACGGGTCGGGTTCGTATATTCGACCTGTTTGAAAAACGGGACGGGTTCGGGTTGACCCGACGGGTTGCCGGGTCAACCCAAAAACCCGTTTTTTTAAAAAAAATTGGATAAATGGCTCTGCCGAACCCCCCGAACCCGCGCTGCCGAACCTGAACCCGGGCTCGCTGTCGCGCTGCCAAACCCGTGCTCGTGCCGCGCTCGCCGCTCGCTGCCGCAGTGCCACTCCCGCGATCGCGCTGCCGAACCCGAAGTCCCGAACCCGAGCTCGCTGCCGCTAAGAATAGTGCTTGTGAGAAGAGAAGGAATAAGAAAGATTTGTAGTTATTTCTCCCAATTTTCAAAGTGGACTTATTGACAATTTTTTAGAATGATTTATTTAAATATATTAATTAAATATAAAATATTTATGAAATATTATATTAATTTAGATTTAATATATTAAATAATAAACTCTAATATTTACATAATATGCTTTAATTAATTATGCCCCCATAGTTCCACCTCATAATATGGGATTTTCAGTTACTTTAAAAGAAGGAAAGCTATATAAAAAATATATGGAAAATCTCACATATGATGTGGAACTAAACAACTAGTTGTGTCATATGTGTACAAGGAGGATTACTTTCAAGAGATTATTTTTTGGAAAAATTTTGTATACAACATTCAATTAAAATTGATACATTATATATAAAAGTATATGACAAAAATTAATAATAACTTATATTAAAATGGGATTTTAATAAAATTATTTTTATTATATCATCCGATTTGACCCCGGTTGAACCAGTCTAATCAGTTAAATCATGAACCTCTCCTTCTTTCGATTTATTGTTTGATCTGATTTTCACAAACTTTATACACACACAACCCTTAGCCTGGGAAGAATGATGGATTCAAATAATATGATGGTTATTAATGACAATAGAATTCTCAAAACTCTATGGGCAACCTAGTTATGAACAAGAACCAGAGGCTTGACGGGTTATTCACAGAGCTTCTCCGCTTCTCGGTGGAAATACAATGTGAACTATAGCTTCCCTAGACTTGCTCAGTGCCTGTTAGGGGTGTCAATTATTGACCCGACCCGATAACCTGACCCGAACCCCACCTAAAAAATCCGGGTTAGGGTCGACCCGTTTAACAAACAGGTCAGGTTCGGCATCGCCTCAGCTCGCCAGGACGCTGCCTGTGCTGGCAAGTCCTCTGTCCACGGTCCCGGTCCGGGTCCGCACCGCCTCAGCTCGCCAGGACGCTGCCTGTGCTGGCAAGTCCTCTGTCCGTCATGCAACATCGGAACATCCCATCACGGACTCACGCGAGTCAGTTGATACGGCGACGTCGAGTCCGCACCGACCGACGACGGCATTTCCCGTCACGAACTAGCACTCACCATAACACCCATTTTTGAATCAAACGGGTCGCGGGTCGGGTTGGGTCAACCTGGGAACCCGTGCGGGTCGGGTCCGGGTTTAATTTCTTGACCCACTTAGCTAAACGGGTCGGGTTCGGGTTGACCCATTTACACCCGGGTCAAGCCGGATTTGACCTCAACCCAACCCGTTGACCCGAATTGACACCTCTAATGCCCGTACACACTCATCTGGAAGTGGCAAAGGCAACCACACCAGGTTCTCGAAGGGGCATTATCCTACTCGATTTGCACAGAGGATCAATGCCCGTACACACTCATCTGGAAGTGGCAAAGGCAACCACATCCGTTTGTCCTGTTAAAAATTTTTCTGGTTTGGTTGTAAGGAACCATTACCTTATTTTATATTTCAAAGATTGTGTTTTTGAATTTTTTGATCAATTTTATACTTTTTTGCTAAAAAATAAATATACTTTTATATTAGTAAAACTTTCATCGCATAACTTTTTATATGTTATAAAGATAGAGATTATGAACATTTTGAATATTTATTCAAAAATTTTTGCCGGGTGATTTTAAAAAAGTAGCGGTTTTTATGTAGTCGAAAATTTTTTTGACATATAAAATAGTGTTTTAGTTCAATAAAAGCTTCATGAAATTATTATATATTATCCCTGGTAATTTGATTAATTTCTGAAAATGTGAATTTTTGCTTAGTAGGATTTTCTATTTCATGCAATTACTATATTTTGACACTTTCTGAATTAAGCTTAATTATGCTTTATTTAATACAATGCATTCAAAATGAATGTGGATATATAACTGAGTAATAGCTGGTCGTTATTACTGTTATAATATTGTGATAATAATATGTGTGTAAAAGATAAATAAAGACTATTTGACCTGTTGGTTGGAGACTGATTGATTTGTATAGGATGGTGAACCGACAAACTTTTTTAAAATATTATGATTTGGTTTTATCCTCTACTGATTCATGTGATATTGATTAGGACTTATAAGAAGATGATTACTGTATAGATAGATAAAGAGTGATGACTCTGTTTACTGAGCCAATATTTTATTGATATTTATATGATATTAAAAAAAAATCGTGATAGTCAACATTCTTACTTTTTTAGTGTGACATACTAATATACTAAATTGATACTGATCTAAAATAATTTGATAATATGTGTACACTCCTATATAATTTTATTACAGTGATATGATTTCAACAATCTGTATTGATTCTTTGATTTTACCGTTTTATGCATTTGATTTACTGACTTATTAATAGTATTGATACGACGATTATTATATAGATTTGACACCCATACTATTTTATTGGCTTCTTATTTCTATATTAATTCAATGATTATATGAATGCTACTGTTGTGGTTTGATTGTTGACATGTATATTGCTCTTTTATCATATTTTGAGTTAAATTATATAATTTGATTGTTTGTTGGGTTTGTGAGCTTATTATATATGATTAATATTTTCATGTCATGGTAGATGATCAAGAGTGTGAGATTGACCAGGATTCCTTATGTTCTATTTCTTTTTGTTTTAGTTATTCTTTTATATTCAGGAATAGTTATGATATGATTATGAAGATCCTAAGTAGAGTATATAATCTTTGAGAAATAAATACAGATGTATATATTGATATTCTGATTGATAATTTTTTTCTGCTAGTTATATTGATAAAATAAATTAGATAGCTCTCATTGTGTAAATTAAAAGATAAAAGAATAATTCTTCTAAATTATATTATGGGGCATCACATGCTGCTTGTAAGTTGAGAGGATGTGCTAGTGCTTGTTGGGCACGATTGCTGCAAATGAGACACGGAGAAGAGAAATGATGGGTTTGGAGTTGGAATAACATGTAATAGCTTTTGTGAGCTCATTTACTTCCCATTGATTTTGAGCAAATACTTTACCTAAAATATCAGCATTATGTGCAAGGGGCTCATTCTGTAAGTGAATATACAAAAGTATTCAACGGGTTGAGTGAGTGGAACAATCTCAATGAATCCCATAATCAAATTTTTCACAATATATTGGGGGCCTTAATGACATCATAAAGTATTTGAGCAATGATATTTCTCTATTCACGTTTTCATCTCCTTCCCATTCCCTTTATTCTTCTCTAGCTTTTTATAACCATGAGTACATTTAAAATTTATATCTTTTTTTTTTATAAACCCAAAC